AGTCCATTGTTAGGCGTGTGGTATGGCATGAGACACCGTTTTGTTGAAACCACATGTCATACAAGTCAAGCTCTTGCATTTCAGGCAAAAAAAAGTTTGATATCATCTCACGGTGGCGCTCACCATCCTCAGTCGCGTTGCGATACGCATTCACTTTGAAGAAGTACGGTCCAATGATGCCACCAGCCTCTAAACCGTACCAAACTGTGACTTTTCCTGGATTCATTGGTAACTCTTTCTGTGCTTCTGGCTGATTTTCAATTCAAAATCGGCAATTCCGCTTATTTACGCACGAATTAGTGGGTCGATTAAATTATCTTGGAGGGCACTTCCCATCGTAATGGGAGCCAATACGTATATTTGCTACATATATTGTACATATTTTTAAACATGCAATGTTCATCTGTTTCACATAAAAATATTATGTGAACATAAAAATTAGTCGGAAAAATATTATTTGCATAAAAGCCCATTTTTGTAATTCTCAATTTTCAGCCACACAAATAAATCATGCACGGAAACAGCTGTGAAAATACATTCATAATAAGGACATGAATTAAAATTATATTAATACATAAATTCGCGTGAATATTGCTATTCTTTTTTTACTGTAACATAAACATTTTCATGGGCATAATAATATTTTTAGTGCTGATACTTATGAAATATTAACTGCCATTTGATGTCTCTCTTCCTCTTCCTTCACTCATTTTATGTGGTTTTTGTTTATTTTGCGCAACAACAAAGAAAGCAACATAATGAACAGACTATAAATAAATAAACACGAGGAAAGGAAAAATCGGTGAGAGAGTGGCATAAAAGACACACACACAGAATGGGAAATGTGACAAACAACAACAACAACAGCATGTATGAGATATTTTCGTAAATTTTAGCCAAAAGCATTAACAAATTGCGCAACATAACCAAACGCAAGCAAACATACATATGTGGCTATATACATATGGTTTAAACATATCTGTATGCCCTAAAGCAAGTATTGATATGTATGTGTGTATGTTTCACGTTCGCCTACGTGAAATCCTTACTCAAGTGAGTACGTGTGAGTATAAAGGACTTTAGCAACATGCACTGTGTAACTGTATATTTAAGCAACAATAGCACAGCTGGAGCTTTTCATGCATTCACATATATATACATACGAGTGTATGTACTAATATATAAGTATGTTACATGCATACGAGCACATACAAACATATGTATATAGTATATAGGTGAAAATAAATTCCCCTTTACGTCATACCATCCTTTTAAGTACCGATTATTGCTATTGTTATTGCTTAACATCTGCTGCCGTTGCTGCTGCTGCTGCTGTAACTACCTTTACTATATTTGCTTATATTTTGCTGCCTATCAGACAATCGCCTCTGTAGTTTTATACAAAACTTAAACTTTTCATGCAGTAAATGTTTTCATGGACACTTACAAGTACATATCGTCTTGTATTATATATTTTCATATATGTGTGTGTGTTACATATTTGTTTGCCTGGCTAAACGTGTGTCCTGCGGCGATTCCAACTAAATATATTGTTACACGTTACGTACACTTATGTGTAAGTGTGTAAGTCTTTATGTAATTGTGCATATTTTCAAGTGTGCTTTATTTGTGACAACTCTGCGTGTGATTTTACACACTTTTTGAAGTTCAGTAACTTATTCATAGAAACCTGCATGTACTAGAGATCACTGGAAGTCCTTTGCATTTTTTGAATTCTTTTTGTAGCCGAGTGGTAAGCATTGCCTAGTGTTATTCGAAGGACCAGGGTTCGTGTCCCAGTTCGACCAATATCCAAAAGTTATAGAAAATTAATTTGTTTCACCTGCGGTCCTCATGACTCGTACCTTCATCAGTCTTTCGAAGCGTCTTAATATAAACTGTAGGTTGCTCCATTTGTTGGAAAAACAACACACGACATACAACACAAATGGAAGCGCAAAGCGCCATTTAATCTTCTTTGTTAAATTAAATTTTTATATTTCATTAATATATCGACTCCTGCTAGTTTCAGAATTCACACACTTAGTATAGAAAAAAAAATTAAATATTATTTTTTGTAGTTTTAGAAAGTTTTTGGGCCTACAGTACACGAATATAGTTTTTCACTCAAATTATGAGAATATAAATTATTAAATTAACGCTTATAAAATATTACGATTTTTTTTCATTCAGAACAAAATTTTAAAAATTTGTCTATTTTTGTGAAAAGATTAACTAAAATTTCAACTTTAATTTTTTTCATAGGGAAAACGATTTTATCATTAGTGACATTATGCGAAAGAGAAGATATAAAGCTATAAATTATACGCTAAATAATTGAAGAAATATGCAAGAGTAATACGAAAAAAAACCGTAATTTTCTAATTTACTTGTATTTAAATTTTAATAGTCATTTATTTGGGAATAATTTCATTATAATATATATACAAAAAAATAAAATATTTTTTTACAAATACTGATCTTTATTTTAAAGTTTATTTAGGTTTTATTTGAATTTAAAAATCTTTATAATTTTTATTATAAATTTTGAATTTTTTTTACAATAATTATATAAATAAATAAAGAACAAACCTTTGTACTTATAAAACGTCTCATATAGATATTTTCAAAAAAAAAAAAATATCCCATCGCACTTTTATATTTTAATAATATCACTGGTGTGCATATTGTTGTAGCATTTAATGTATGTATGCAGCTATTTTCTTTGATAATGTTTTACCACATGACACTCCGATAACATTAGCCATACATAAAGCACGAAAGTTTCATTTACAGTTATACATAGAGGCTTATATGCATTCTTATATCCTTTTTTGATACAACCCAGGTTCTCGTACACTTGTACCAAATCGCATACATACCCCATTTGATGTATTGCTATTATGGTTAAAGGGATTTTGGCAGCTGCACCAAATGCTTTTTCATCGTTTTTTAGTGTGCTTTTGAGTGTATGATTTTTATTATCTAAATATATATATGTTTTTGATTGTCCGCCTGCTGCGCATTGCCGATTTATTTTGTTATAGTTCCTCCTGCTGTATACTAAATTTATTTCTATCATTTTTTCTAATTTTTTTCTTTTTGTTTTGTGTATTTGAAAAATTTGTTATTGTTTTCTTCTCGTTCTGTGATTGATTTGCATGTTTTATAGTTCAATAAAATGGCGGAACATAAAAAATATAAATTTGGAATGTTTGCTCTTTACGATCTCTGTTTGATGGAGCCTGGAAAAAGTTGCTCACATACGAGGGGATTAACAAAAGTTACATATACACTTAGGTTCCCTCTTTTATTGGTTACTTTATTTGGGCTTGCATCGTAAAAGTTTTAAAACTTGAATAAAAACTTTGTACGAAAATGAAGTCATTCCCAGCGAGCGGTGATTTGTAAGTGAAACTACTGCTTACTGAAATGTATTTGAAAACTTCAGTTAAATAAAAATATTTTATGTGCACTTATGAACACATATTGAAAGATTAGTCTTTCACTTTTATGGGAGAAACAAAGTTAAAAATATTAGAGTAAAAATAAGATACAAAAATAAATCAAATTAAATTAGATAAACTGAATTAAGTTAAAATAAAATAAGATAAATGAAATGATGAAACTGAATTTAACTGAAATAAAAAAAAAATTAAAAATCAAATAAATGAAATAGAATAAAATAAAACAATATAAAAAAATCGAAAAAATATATATCGAAAATATAATATTAAAATAAAATAAAAAAAAATAAAGAAAAATTAAATAAAATAAAATAAAATAAAACATAATATTAAAATAAAATAAAAAAAAATAAAGAAAAATTAAATAAAATAAAATAAAATAAAACATAATAAAATAAAATAAAATAAAATAAAATAAAATAAAATAAAATAAAATAAAATAAAATAAAATAAAATAAAATAAAATAAAATAAAATAAAATAAATTAAAATGAGTAAAAGTTAATAAAATAAAGCAAAAAGAAATAAAATAATATATATTAAAATGCAGTAACTTCAAATAAAATATAGTAAAACAAAATTAAATTAAAACAATAAAATAAAATAAATTTAATTAAATTAAAATAAAATACAATAAGCTAATTTAAAATAAAACAAAATAAAATAAAATAATGTAAAATATCAATAAAAGTAAATAAATAAAAAAAGTGAAGAAAGTTAAATAAAATAACTACTTGAGGTGTTTAAAGAAAGATTATTAAAAGAAAATATTTTAAATCAGCTTAAAAAAATAACAAAACTTTATTTCGGGAAGATTAATTGAGTTTATATAATATTAAATAAATTCGCTTATTAATACACTAAAGGTTCAAAAATAAAATTGTAAATAATTAATTGCTATAAAATTCCTGGGAGCAGAAAACTTTAAATTATGCGGCCGAACCAACTAAATTTCGAACTTTCGCCACTGTTACATATTAATTAGCACACTACAAAGCACACCTTCACATACGAACAAAACGAAGCGAAAGGTGAGAAGTATGACGTTACACTATACGCCAACTGACTGGATGGCTAATTAACATTTCAATAACTAATTTGAACATCAAACAGAAGCGAGGTGAGAGATGAAGAGGAGAATATACATACATATAATGTGCAAATGGAAGCAGCAAGCAAGGTTGAGAATTAATTGCCGACGGCCAAATAATGCTGGATAACTAAAAGACGGAGGAGGATACCAGCCAGCAAGTAGGACAACAAGTCATGGCAATGTTTTTCAAGCATGCTTGGCTGGGCGCGGAACGAGAAGATGGCTGAAAAGCAAAGGTAGCAATGACTAAGCGAAGCTCTGTGAAGGCAACGCAAGTGTCACTACTTCCTCTGGATTTCGTGTCTATTAATAGATATCGACATTGTTCAACTGACCTACTTTCAAACCAACATACATACATACAAACAAAGTAATTTAAGACTTAGGGTAACATGCAGCATGGACTGCATGCTTTCAGATGAATTCATTTCCTCTACTTACCGCAAATCCTGCACTTCGGTCCGTACATCCGCATCGCCAACGGCCACCGAATTCGCATTATTTGCTGTCACTCCGATGCTTAATGATTTGCGTAAATTATGTTCGAGCAGCTCATAATCCTCGCGACGGCGCATCATCAACGCGTCCAACTGTTTGGAAAGCAATTGTACCTGTTCGGCGAGTGGTAGCGTATTATCAGTAGTGGCTGGTTTAGTAGTTGTTGCCATACTAGGTGTTTTTGTTGTTGTGATAGTGGTGGCAACCACTGGCACCGCAGTGGTTGTTGCATGTATCAACATTGCATCATCACGCTCGTCCACAAAACGTAAGAGCTCTACACTGGAGGACTCATCTGAGCTGGCGTAACGCTCCGAAGCGGCAGCGAAGTCGTTAGAAAAATCATCACCAACATAATTGTCGGCATCGAGCTCGTCAACGGCGGCAACATCATCATCGCTGAGGACTTGTAGATTTGGGGTGTTTTTATTATAGGCGGCATCACGCAACATGTTGTCAAAATGTGGTTGTTGTTGCCGCACGTTGGTTTGTGGCTTTTGTTGTAGTTGTTGTTGCTGCTGTGAGCTGTGCACTGCACTTGCCGCTGTGTTGGGCAATTGCGTGGCGCATGCAACAAGGATTATGCCAATTAACGACACGAATGCGCCTGAGCGGCGGAAAAGCGACGCGCACGATAGTTGTTGCATTGTTGTTATTTTTGCCATTGCCTTGGTAACGCTTTCTTTGGGTATTTTTACTATATAGTGTAAGTTTAGTTTTACGAAACTCGCGAGGTTTTAAAAATTATAATTCCTTCTCACTTCTATTATTCTTTTATTTTGTTTCTCACCACTTTCTTGCCGTGTCTTGTGCACACTTCACGTTAAACCCGTTAAAATCGCACAATAGAAAGCGAAACGACATATAAATGAACGGCTAACTAAGCAACGGGCGTTAAAGGCTGGTCGTTCAAAGTCTGTACTTGACACATGGAAACACTTCTCACACAAATTTATATAAATATTCGCGCAAAAGTATGCTGGTAAAATATTTATAATTTTTTAATTTTTCTCAATTTCAATTTCTTTCCACCTTTTCGCAATTAATTGCTATTTTCCATTGCTTGCACACGAACACCAGAGATATCCTTTCACACTCAAGTGATAATAACTCTCAACGTCACACTTTGCACTGTCAACTTAACGTTTGAATTATTTATATTTATTTATTTATTGTATTTTGGTATCCACTTGTTATTGTATTTGTTCGACTTTGACTTTTCGTACGAACTTTCCGTAAAGAAAAGCACATTTGACCGACTCTCGGTCGTACGCACACACTTTCCCTTTTTTGTTTTTGCTGTAACACTGCATATACTACTCATGTATTTAATCTCAACATTTTCTACGTTCTTATCGTTTTATACAAATTTTCCGTTTGGCTCAACACTTTGTTTCGCAAAGGCTGTCAGGACTAAACTGAATAACGCGCGTATCCATACGTCCTTTTATACCTTCGCATTGCCATCTGCTTGATTAATGTTGGTGGTTGGCGTTGTTGTTGCTGTTCTTGTTGGTTTCGTCCAATTGTCGACATTTGCCAGTCAGCTAGCCATGAGCTAACCATTGTTGTCGGTTTCACACTGGAAGAGTAGCGTAAAGAGAGTTTACATGTTTGCAAACAGGTTGTTTGCTCGCTCGTTGGCTACGTTCGTGTGTTTCACGCTCTTTAGCGCTCGCTTTTTCTCTCTTGTTGTTGCTAGCGCTCAGTGTACTAAAATATTGGGGCTGCCGAGGATTATGTTAGGCACAGTGGCGCACTAAACTATTTTGGTGAATATAATAGTGAAGTAAGTTTTACTATGAAAGGTTAGCTGAAAGAATATGCTAAGCGCCATAACAGTAAAATAAGATAAATTAAGAAAAAAAAATATTTAGAACTTTTGTTATTTTTAAAATCAAATTCGAATGGAATGTTTACGAGATCAAAGATCAAGCTTGCGGAATCAATGCTTCAAAATTAAATTAGAATGAGTTGTCCTTTCATAAATTAAATAAATTTATATAATTAAAAAAAAATATATTATAATAAAAATATTTAAACTTGGATTTAAAGAAATTGTTAAAAAATAAAATAATCAAAAAAAAAAATAAATAGCGCAATTAAATTTAATGCAAGAAGCTACAGTAAGGGCCCGCTGAAATATTATCTCTTGCAGAGGTGCCGAAGGAGATAGAATACGTTACCTCCAGTATTCAACAAGAACCACCAAGCAGGAGTGAAAGGGAAAACATAAATGCTCCCGATCAGAGAGAAAAAATCATACTTTCCGACGGCTCAAAGCTCGAAGAAAAAATGAGCTCCGGAATCCTTTTTCCTCTTTTCCTCTTTTTCAATAAATATGAAAGCAAAACTTGTTACAATCATAAAAGCTGTCGATTGGTTGCAAATTTTGATAGTCAAGCTACCATCAGATCTTTATCCCATGAAAAGTGGATATAAAATTTAGAAGAGATCTGAAAAACATGGCTGAGGAACTGGCGTTCGAAGCAATCCTTCTATCTTTACCTTCAGGTTCACCTTTGCTCACGGTAAAGTATATGCTTTAATCGCCTTCTGCAAGCTCCTGCCCATCGAAGCAGAGAAAGTGGAAGACCGCTCCATTGGAAAGGCCAGGTAGAGAAGGACCTGGTTGTACTTGGTATTTCCAATTGGCGCCAAACAGCAAAAAGAAGAAACGAAATGTTGTTAACTCGGCTATAATCGCGTAAGCGGTGTCTACGCCTGTAAAGTAAGTAAGTAAGTAGGAACGAAGAAGAGTAAGAGTCCATTGAACACTACCTCTGTCTCTGTCCAAGCTTGCTATCTGCGCCCCACAGCATCCTTGGGAAAAACTTCTTAGACTGCTCCGCAAAGCTAGTTTCAGCCAAAATGGTTAAACTCCTGAGTTACGATATGTTTTGAATATTTGAGAAGGTGAAGATAGGAGTGTCTTAGTGTATTAACCCTGCAGGGCAGATAGCTACCGCTCAGTGTACTCTCAGTGCATTTAACTGTAGAATTTTACATGGGCATAACGAAATCGCTATAGATTTTGGATCAATTGCCTACTCACAGTACTGCAGGGATAAGATCTACTTAAGTTAGGTCCTGTGTGGAATACTCTTTTCCAACTTTTCTATTTACCAACACACAGTAACACAAAACTCAGCTCTCTCTTAACAAGAAGAGCAACTTCGAAATAGCAAAGGAAGAACTCAAGAGCATACTCTCTAGATGGACTCACAACGAAACGACAGATGTTCGAAATGTTTACTAAGGGTTTCAAGTTAGCAAGGAGCAAAAGTAAATGCAGTAAAATAACAACAAAAGCAATGACAACAACTGACGCAGCCACAAGCAGCAGCAGTTGGTAGCAAGTGTTACCTACTTGTTTGTTTGTTAATTTAGCAGCGCTTACCAATAATATTTATAAACTTAACTGTTATGCTGATGCTTATTTCTTCTATAACCTTTTGCATATATGTATGCATACACACACATATACATATGGACTACAGCGGTGTGGTTATTTTAGTTTTTAATTTATTTGCAAAATTTCGCCAGTTGATGTGCGTCCCATTGCCTGTTGCCCTACCGAAGTTTGCGCGGCTGCTCGCTTTCTTGCGAGTCTTTTGTTGTTATACTTTATGGATCCTCCCTTTGACTGTTACATTTCTTCTGCCTTCTTCGATTGTAGGTCGTTTTCTTTTTGGTATGTTTATGTAGTATTGTAGGTGCATGTGTGTGTGTGTGGGTGTGGTGGCAACGGAGAACCTTTTGTTTGCGCGCTCACAATTCATTTTACTTAAAGTTGTTGTTGTTACACTTACCGCCAACTGCTGTTGCTTATGAACTTGCTGAGTGTTATTGCTAGCATTATTATATAGCTAGTCTATGGTTGTTGTTGCTGTGTTTGAGCTAGCAACGTGGCGTTTTTTTTTGGATTCACCCTCACTTGCACTTATTTACATACATTATTCTGCTGCCGATTCACTAGCCATCTTAACGGTGTTGTTAGAGAATCGCTTTTGCTGTTGTTGTTTTGTTGGCATTTATATCCTATGTTACCGGCGTTGTTAGCCGTTTTGCTTTTTCTCCAAGCAAATTGGGGTGTTTCTTCCATGCAGTCGAAGCTCGGTGCTCGGTGCTCGGTGCTGGCCGCGCTGGCGTTGCATATTCATGTTCATGTTTCTGCATTTTATTGTGCAACGAGTGTTGTATATTGTTGCTGTCATCTATGGTTAGCACGATTAGTGTTTATGTTTTTCAAGCATGCTTGGCTAGTCAAAATTTGCGCTTTTTGCATAAATTCGAAATAGAAGGGCTGAAACATGTTTTTTGTGCCTTACGTGGAAGGCGGTTCTTGAGCAGACTGTTCTCGTACTCAGTGCAATGCATGGAAAGTTAATTTCTTTATGAACTCTTACATGTTTAGGTGGTTGGAAATTCAAGTCAATTATAAGAAAAGTAAATTACTCTAAGGTTAGAAATACTGCTTTGGACAGTTAAGATGGCTTTTTGTCTTCCATGGATGTACGAGTATAAAAATGTAAGTTTAGAGTTAACGTTATGACCTCATGAAGGGAGGAGTCAGCGTACTGTTGGCAATAATGCAGTGAAAATATCTTAAACACAAGCTGAAATTTGATCTAATTTGTGGGGTGCGTCTAAAGAAATAGGGGAACCAACAGTCTATACAAACCCATCTCCGAAAGGCTGGTAGATTTTTTAGAGGAGCTTTTGTTTCGTGACATAAATACACCAGCAGAACCATTTACGAACATGAGTTTGGTTCAAAGTATGTAACTACCAGAAGAACATAAGATGTAACTACCAAAATGTATACCGATGACCATTCCTGATCTCAGAAACAGCCACACCGGGTCGCAGTCAAAGTTTACGATCATGAGTCCTGAAAACAGCATTTAATGGCGTGAAAGCGGGTACCGGAAATCATGGAAATCAGAAGAAGTTGCCATATAGACCACATTCTTTTGATGTGTGATGGACAGACAGACAATGGGATGTAGCTCGTGTTCTAAGAGTGGGATCACACTAGAAAATCTCGATTAATTAATGCAAATCTTTGTTTCTGATCATCATGCAAGCTCTGCTTCGTATGCCCAAGGGCTAAAGATTTGTCAAACAATAGTCTTGAACCATTTGAATTAGGCTGGATACACACATTCATGGTGTGACAATTAAGTAATGAGACTGATTACATTGCCGCGATTGTGGTAATCCTATAACCGTTAATCTCCCTCTCTCTTCTCCTCTCCATTGATATACTTGCCATCGCTTCAGCTTGTTTAGTTCGCCTGCTGTGTCGTGTTGAGTAAACGTGTGTTCCTGGTGCTCGTCATGAAAATAGAAAAAAAATTTCAAGAGCAATTTCTTCCTCTGGGGCAAACCGTAAATCAAGTCTACTATCACCAAGTACTCGAAAGAGTCAACAGGGTGCGTTCAGACATTGCTCGTAACTGGATCCTTCATCACGACAAGGCGCCATGATACATCGCCTCAGCGTGTCCCAGTATTTGGCCTCTAAAAGAATCACCGTGTAGCAACAACCGCCTCATGCACCCGATATGTCACCCTTGCACTTATTTTTGTTCCCTAGAAAAAAATCGGTGGTCAAAGAAACTCATTTAGAGTCGATTGAGGACATCTAGGCGGCCGTGATGAGTGTACTCGCTAACATCCCAGTCGAAGCGTTCCAGAAATGTTACGAAACATGGAAAACGCGCTGTAATCGTTGTGCAGCTGCCCAAGGGGACTATTTTGAAGGGGGATAATAGAATTGTAGAAAAATTTTGATATATAAAATTTTTATGGAATCAGTCTCAATATCAGTAAGCTTGGCTTCTAAAGACTACGTCCAGGTAATTTCAAAAAACAACGCTTCTATTTATTATTGCTTTAAGTACACCAAGAAATGCCTAGAGAACTTTAAGTAGGAAATTTAGTTACTTAAGTTTCACAATAATTTTAAATAATTACCATTTCATACATACATTTGAGAGCACCCGACAATGTTATTTACTGCTGACCTTCATGTTTGCTCTAGTAATTTTGCACTTTAACACTATTGTGCTGAAAGCCATTGGAGTGCATACACGCGTACACATATAGGTGCATGAATGGCTTCATTTATGAAGCAGTCATCATGACAAACTCTCTTTATAAAAAATACATATGTGTACTACCTACAATACATACATAAGTATACTAGCAATTTCGCACAAGTGTTGAGTAATTTACGTATATTAATGCACATATGTACATACTATAAGTGTTCCCCTCAATTATTTTGCAAAGAGAATGAAAATCGTAACAGTGACATTTGTACATAATGCTAATTTTACATAAAGGGTGTTTCATTAGGACTCTTCCTAGTCACAAGTTTAACATGGATTG